ATGTTTCACCATCTCTACCACCCAGCCAATGGGAACAGAAAAGAGAAAGAGGAGGGTTCACCCCTTCTGGTCACAGGCATTGCCTCTCCACACTTCAGTCCTACTGGTCAGTTACTTGGCCAAACATAGCTTTCAGGAAGATAATGAAATATTGTCTTTTTTTCCCCCTGGATTTCCATGTCCCCAGATAGAAGAAGGAGATCATGACCATTAGGGGCCAATTAGCAGTCTCATTCCCAGTCTGTCCCTTTGGCCAACCAAATGTCTGTGTGCTCCATTCTCCCAAAGCTTCAAATGTCCTCCCCCGGGGGAAGACAACCCCAAAGTTCCATCCAGTGCCTGTACCCAGCTCCCAGCCTGGGATCTGGGCATGGACAGCCTGCAGTGTGGGGTCTGGATGTAGTTCTTCATGGTGCAGTGCCCAGCATACACAAGTTAGCTGCCTCATCACACCCAACATACAACAGTACATTAGAACAGTATAACACAGTAGGAACCCCTGTCCAGAAGAAGGGAAAATGGAAACGCCTGCAGCCACTGGTTGGCTGCTGTCATCCAATCTTGGTGCGCAGAAATAGCAAAGAATCCCAGGGTGTGGAGCAAATTCCTTGGATGAAGGTCCTCTCTCCAGGACTGTTCCCCACTTTGTTCACTCTCTTCTGTGGCCCCATCTGAAGTGGGCATCGAAGGTGCACCCCTCTAGGGGCTGCATAGCTTTTCAGCCCACTTCCTGCTGGTGTGGGTTTCGTGAGTTGGGATTCATTGCTTTGAGTCAACAACGCAGGCTGGTGCTGGCCGGGCTTGTGGTTTTTTGGGAAACACATGTCCCTCAAAATCTTAGTTTTGGGCATGTAAGAGAATTTAAAACTCTGGTCTTTTATTTATGAGCCTATATGATATACCTGTTCACCACCCTCTCAACTTGAGACCAGTGAAAACATTCAGCTTGGATTGGAAGGCAATATCCCCCACCTGGTCTTTGCCAGTGAGCTGACTGTCACTGTCACACTGAGAACCTTTCACTGAAAGTACTTGAGAAAGACAGGGGTCCATGGTCTTGCCTCTTGCCAATACCACTTCTTCAGAAACATCTCCTATATCTGCCTCAGTTTGCGCTATAGAAGCAGTAGGATTTTTCAACCTGAAAACCTTTTCAGTTTAGGTTGTAGCCAATAGGCAAAGAGAGCTTCTCCTAGCACACCAACCCCCATCTCTGCCTGCACGCTGCCACCTCTATCCAGATCCTTCTGGCTCATGTAGGACTTTGTTGAGAGTGGCAAGAAGCAGCCCGCAAACCTCAACATCCTGAAATTTTCAACCATTTCCCTAGAGCTACAGATGACTTTCCAAGGCACTGGAGGAATCAGTTTATTAACTGCTTTCGTGTGGCATAACATGGGTTTCTGGCTTTCCAGCCTGCAATAATATGTATTTAGAACATATTTTAAGTTTGTTACCCGCAGCACTTCCCTTCCAGGTCAAAATTGTTGTTAATGAATAGATAAGCTTTCTTTCTGCAAGACAGCCCGCACCCCAAAGAGTGGCTCAAATAGGCTAGAGGTTAATTTCTCTTTCATGTGATACTCGGTCATAGATAGTCCAGGACTGATAGGCCATGCACAGTGTTGGGATTTAGGCCCCTTCTAGCTTGCTGCTCTGACATCCCTAGGGCCCTGCCCTCATCTGAATGGTACAGACTGGCTTAATGCCATGACTTCATCCCATCCAGTGAGGAGGGAAAGGGCGAGGCACATTCTTTTTTTTTTTTTTTTAATATTTATTTATTTGGTTGCACCAGCTTAGTTGCGGCAGGCGGGCTCCTTAGTTGTGGCATGCGAACTCTGAGTTGTGGCATGCATGTGGGATGTAGTTCCCTGACCAGGGATTGAACCTGGGCCCCCTGCATTGGGAGCGCAGAGTCTTAACCACTGTGCCACCAGGGAAGTCCCAAGGCACATTCTTTCTGAAGGGCATGACCTAGAAATGGCACTCCATCACTTCTGCTAACATCCCACTGGACACAACCTAGGCCCTTGGCAGGCCTCGTAGCACCGTGTCTGGGAAATGTGGCTTTTATTCTGGGTAGTCATGTTCTTGGCTAGAGGAGTTCTATTACTATAGAAAGGGAGAATAAATATTGGGGGATGACCAGCAATCTCGGTCTTGGGGTGATCCTCCAAATGAAATGGGGGGATGGATGGCGGGGAGCAAAAAGCAACAGAGGTCTATTTATAGGCTCTCTCCTGTTGTGCCCCAGCCCCTTCCGCCTCCTTTAATCACCATGATCTAATTGTCTGTCTGTGTGTCTGTCATTGCTGTCCCCGAATCTCCCATCACAGAGGCCTTGAGGACTGGCACTTATCAGGGACTCAGTAAAATTTTTGTGGAGTAAACTGAGGTGGTAATAGGTACTCCTGGGTAAACTACCTTTCAACCCTTCCTCCCTCCCTCTTTTCCTTCCTTCCTTTGTTCCTTCAGTGAGCATCTATTAGATGCCAGGTCCCAGGGAGTCTTCTCTCTCCAGGAGGTTCTTTTCACTCATGGATCTTATGGCTAGAAGAGTCTCTCACACTCTAGGGATATTTTTGTCTGAAAAACAAGCATATACCTTTCCACTTAGTCGAAGCTCTCTCTTCCTTAGGCAATGACACATCGACACCTTTGAACTTTCAGCGTCTCCTTTTCTGAGACTCCCAGAGTTGCTGCCCCAGTGGTCACTGTTGAGCTAGCTCAGTGTCACTTCCCCTTTCGTCTGGCAACAGCATCTTGCATCTTCACCACCTTCTGGGACCCTGGAGGGGCTGTCAGTCATAGCACAATGTCCCCACCCTCCCGGGAGTAGCACACGACACACGCTGGCCAATCGAAGAACTCCCTCCCCCCTGGCCCAGGATTGTCAAGCACGGTAAGATTTGATTTGTGGATCCAGAGACATGAGGATGTAGATTTGGGGCTGCCGGCAACCCTTGTTTCCCAAGAGGAGAGAGCCCAGGTGAGAATGACTCTAACCCAGAGGGGATCAGAGGGAAGGAGTGCGAGAGACAGAGCCTTTGAATTTTGCAATGCTTGAAGCTAGATTCAGTAAGTTCTCTTCTTTGCCTAAACATTAACCCTTTTACTCAGGGTTCAGTTCTGATCAATGATTGGTTAATAGGCAAGTTAACTCAGAGACATATGGGGAGCAATCTGATTCAGAATTTGTCTAGATGTTATGACTTTCTTCTTACGCTTTTTCAAGTTGCCTTTCCCACACTTAACTGGCAGCAGTTTTGATGACTTGCTTTCCAGAGCATTTAACCCAGTTTTCACAGGAACAAAACTTTCTTTTCATATTCATATTCCATGGGTTCATGTGCTGTTTAATTACCTTGAATAATGATAACACATATGGTTGGAATAAGTAAGTTTGGATACAAACTCAACTGACTCTTGGTAAGCCAGCAACTCAGCTGGGAGAGCAGAGGTGCCCAGCCAGCTAAAGTGTGTCCTCCTGGCTACCAGCATCCAGAAGGCTTTGCTCACCGTCTTTACTGAAGGAATGAGGACCTTGACTCGTTCCACAAGTTGGTTAAGTGGGGATGCGTCAAAAGCACCTTTTATTTATTTATTCGTTCATTCATTCATTTATTCATTCATTCTTATCTTTTGGCCACACCACCTGGCATGTGGGATCTTAGTTCCTAGACCAGGGATTGAACCCACACCCCCTGCATTGGAAGTGCAGAGTGTTAACCACTGGACCTCCAAGGAAGTCCCAAAAGCACCTTTTAAAGTTTAACTCTCTAATTCTCTCATAACTGTGAGTCTTAACTAAAACTTGTTTTTCTTTGATGAAGATTCTTTCTTTATGATTTCTGGTTCCAAACTTGCGTGGCCCCCAATATTTCTTGGTGATCCTCCATGGCATTTCTTTGGCCAGTAGTCTCTTCCACTTTCTGCAACAACTATTTCAAACCTCCTCCTCCCTCCTTGCCCCTCCAACCTTTCCATCTTCCCCTGTTTGTCTCAGCACGTGATCTTGCATTTTATTACACAGAGAAAACAGAACCATCAGACAAGAAAACAGAGATCAACGAACTTCCACTTCCAAACCTAGTGCCCCACCTAGGTATTACCCCATCATTTTTTCTTGCCCCCTGGTTACACACAGAAATCGCCTGACTCCTGTTTACCACATTCAGGATCCCACTGGGGACCTTACGCCAGCAGTGATCCCCACTCTTTCCTGTTCTTCATGCACTCCCTCTCTATGGGCCCTTCTCCCCACTGTCAAATATATTCAGTTTGTTACAATGTGCCGTGATCTGTCTGTGTCTGGCCACCCAGTCTCCATTCCTCCTTCTGGGGAAAATGCCTTGTGTGTGCGGTCCTGGTGGGTCCTGTGTGATGCTCCTAGAGATGCCTTCGGCCAGGTTTTCCTCTCACCGTCCAAGGACAGAGGGCATGTGGCCTAAGCTCAGTCAAATGAGCTCCTGCTTCCCCGGTTCTTTAAATCTCAAGTTGAGAGGTATACGAAAGACAAACAACTGAAACCCTTCCTTCTAGATGGTGGGGTGGCCCTTGCTGCTGGGGTCTGCACTCGCCTGGCTCCTGTCTGGAGGGACCAAGGCCAGCTCTCTTGCGTTAGTTTCCATCTGGGCTCTCTGCAATCTTCCAACAAGTTCCTTTTTTGCTTAACTTAACCAGTGTTGTTTTCTGTTTCTTGAAATGAAGGAAACTCACTACATGATGCATCATATTAAAAAGCAAACCAGAACTTCCCTGGTGGTGCAGTGATTAAGAATCCACCTGCCAATGCAGGGGACACGGGTTCGAGCCCTGGTCCAGGAAGATCCCACATGCTGCGGAGCAACTAAGCCCGTGCGTCACAACTACTGAGCCTGCGCTCTAGAGCCCGCGAGCCCATGTACCGCAACTACTGAAGCCCATGCGCCTAGAGCCCGTGGTCCGCAACAAGAGAAGCCACCGCAATGAGAAGCCTGCGCACTACAACGAAGAGTAGCCTCTGCTTGCTGCAACTAGAGAAAGCCCGTGCTCAACGAAGACCCAACACAGCCAAAAAAAAAAAGCAAACCAAAAAACAGCACCAACACCAAAAAATCTCTTTCTTGATCCCACACCCCTTTCCAAGTAACACCTTTTTTTCCTTTCCCCTTTACGGCCATCCTTAAAAGAGTTGTCTGCACAAGCACTGTCTTCCATTTTCCCCCTTGACTCCAGTGGCTCTGGCTCCATTACCTCGTTGAAGCTGCTTGTTCTAAGCACCCGGGGTCACAGCAATGTCCCGGTTTCCCTCATTCCTTTCTGGCTGCTCCTTCTCAGTCCTTTGCCACCTGGTTACTCACAGGTGGGTCCTAGGTCCTCTTCTCCACACTCTCCCTGAAGACCTTATCCACTCCTGTGACTTCAGGGACCCCTGTGCCCATGATGCCCAGACCTCCTGGGGAAGCCCAAACCCCAGTCCTGTATGTGCCACTCGCCTCTCCACCTGCTGTCCCACCCATCCCAGCATGCCCCCACTGAACTCCTGAGCCCACCATACCTGCTTCTCTTCTGTCAGGGTCTGAGTCTCAGGAAATGGCACTTGGCCCGTGAGGTCCTAAGTCAAGCGCCTTCTCTCTCTACCAAAGCAATCAACAAACTCCACTCCCATCCCCACCCCATGCAGTCCTAGCTTGTATCTCCAGAACAAAGGAGAAGCTCGATAAATATTTGATCAGATGACTGATAGCAGCAAGAAGACTCTACAGAACACTTAAACAAACTCTCTATTTCCTATAGTCCTGTGAGGTAAGAATAAGTATCTGCAGATGAGGAAATTGATGCCCAGAGAGAGGGATGGTTTAGCTTGGGTGTGAGATCACAGAACCAGTGAATATGCAGGGGTGTTGGGATTGTCATCCCTGTCTGACTCTCCATCCTGGGCTCTCTGCCGGCAGCCACTGCAGCCAGGAGAGCTCCCATGACCAGCCACAAATGGAAGAAGAGGACCAGTGGGACAAGGGGCCAAGGCCAGGGTGCTGTTCAGAGACCCTAATGGCAGGTTCAGTCAGGCTGTATCTGCGGGCATCCAGCATGGCAGACATCTGCTGACACCCACCTCCAAGCAGGGATCCTTGAAACACTTGCAGTGAGGTTCTCGGGGGGCTCTCTGATGCTCAGGGAGCTGGGAACCCCAGGTCTGAGGCACCAACTCTCAGTATATCCCCACATAGCTCCTCCCTTCCTGGAACTCTGTTGACTTCCCTACAAAGGAAATAAGAGGAAGAGTCATGAGATGTTGGAGGAGGGGCCCTAATTCCTGGGCAGGGGCAGGAGTGGGTGGTGGTCTCAGCAAACAAACCCCCAACATGCCCCCTTTTGGCCGTATCCCCCTGCCAGGCTGTGTATGGTGAGGAGGCCCGCCATCTGCTAGACCCTGGGAAAGAGACCCCACTGGAAAGGGGTGCTTGGGACAGTCTGAGTCTTCCTGAGCAGAACCCCACCCTCTTCACCAGTGAGTGAGATCCCAACTTGATGCTGTAACTGGAGGGCTGGGGTGGGTGGGCAGAGAAGGTAAAGCCAATGCTTCCAGGCCCTAAGTGGCAGGATCTCAGGCTGGGGGGAGCAGACAGTGATGCCCGTCATTAAAATCTGGGCAGAGAAGCGTGAGGGCATGACCCACAGGGTCAAATGCTGTGTGTGACATGGTGGTATAGTCGGCTCTCTGTATCCATGGGTTCTGCTCGTGTGGAGTCAATCAACCACAGATGGCAATCTTAATACACGATCAGCAGTCGGTTGAATCCAAGGATGTGGAACCTGCAGATATAGAGGGCCGACTATAGCCCTTGACCATCTGAGGATTTTGATATCTGCGGTGGGGCCTGGAACAAATACCCCGCGGATACCGAGGGAATGACTGTTTATCCATTGCGTACTTTGGTCTATGAGACAAACTGATGAGGGGCAACTCAGAGCTACAGAGAGGGGTACTAAGGCTGGGAGGGGTCTCACATGCAGAGAACACACCAAGGCATTGGGTGGGGGCAGCTGGGTGTGAGGGCCAAGCCACACCTGCTGCATAGTGCCGCACGCCCCCTCCTCTGGACTAGCTGCCAGGCTAGGGGCTACGGAAAGTGAATGGTGCAGGCTCCTGCCTGGGCTTTCCACTCTCCAATGGCTGGGGAACTTTTTGCAGGTCCCCTCTTGATGCTGGGTGGAGGCGCAGGGCTGGTGGAGACCGGAGAAGTGAGGCTGGGGCCTGAGGTCTTCCCAAACTGGAAGAGCAGTAGAGATGGTATTGCCTCTTCCACCACTGAACCAGAGGGGTGCAGCCCCCTCAGCAAAGGGCTGGGCAGGCAAATCAGTGGTCCCTGAAGCTGGGATCAACAGAGGAGGGTCGACACTGGGGCTCAATTCTCAGAGCCCAGAGATACGACAAGATTCTCTTACAAGGGGCCCTGGGGGTTGGGGGGAGGGTGGTAGGAATCTCAAGGGTGGAAGGGGTCAGGATCAGTCTGGGCTGGTGGACGCCTGTTGGGAGTCTGTGTGTAAGGAGCCCGTGGTTGTCAGAGATTGGGGGATATTGAGCGAACTGAGCTCACAGGCCCCCATCCTAGTAGGGCAGGATCGGGATTTCCCAGGGCCTGGACTGGCTCCTGGCATCGTAGGGCCGGGACAGAGTGAGACAGGGCGTTTTGGGGCTGCAGAGAGCAGCAGGAAGGGGTGCGAGCTTGGGCGGAGTCGGCCCGTTCCCACATGGTCAATGCACAAGCCAGCTGTTGGGGTCCCTGGGAGCGGGCTGAAGATTGAATGCCAGGAGTTGGGTTGGTTTGGGGACAAAGGTGGAGACAGGGACATGGGCAAGGAAAGGGATGAGGAAAGGTGTGGGAGAATACGGGCTTTGGGGCCAGAGCTGGGGAAGCAACTCTGGGCATGGAATCTAGGTTTAGGTTGTGGAGGCCGGGTGGAGGGCTCTGGGGACAAGACCTGGGTCTTGGAGGGGCCGTGGAGGCGGAGTGCAAAGGACCAGGGTCGGTCTTGGGGTCTGCGAGAGTGAATCTGAGAGGATCGGACTCTGGGGTCCAGGGCTTGGAGAATGAACGTCCGCAGGGCGGGGACGAAGAGGGACCCGACCGACTATCCCAGGGGACAGGTCCTAGCGCTGGGATTCTCGAGGGCAGGGTGGGAAGTCCGTGACTTGTGAAGGGCGGGGCCCGGGTGACCAAGAACACGGTGCGGACCGTGAGAAAGGGGGTCTCCAGAGCGGCTGTAGACCTCTGTGCGGGGCGTGGTGACGGAGGGGAACAAGGACCGAGGCGGTGGAGCTAGGAAGACTTGGGCTGGGGAGCTGGGTCGGGGGCTGGAGGATTGTGGGGAGCCGAGCCTATGAGACTGGGGACGGCGGGGTCGGGTCGGGAAGATGGGTGTCTTGGGTTGGGGGTCGTTGGACAGGCCTGTAAAACTGGAGATCATGGTGGGGGCGGGGCCGAAAAGACGGGACAGTGGGACGTGCCGCGAGGAGGGGGTCAGGAAGGAGGACTGGGGGCTCGCGGGGCAGAGTAGGGGAGGGTTCGTGGGGCTGTAGGATGTGGGGATAGTGCGGGGACCAGAGAGACCGTGGGGGCGGGGGCAGGGCCGGGGGCGGGGCCGGGACGCCGACGTGGGCGGTGGAGGCCGGGGCGGGCCCAGGTGAGCAGGGCCACCGCCCCCTTCGTCCCGTCTGCCCCGGCTCCCCACCCCGGCCTCCAGTCACCCCTTGGCTCCTCCCCGGCGCTGGCTCCGCGGGCCGGGCGGACCGCGGCTGGCGGCGTCTTCGGCCCAGGCCAGGTCCGGCTCGGCTCCATCTTGGGCCGCTGCGCCGGGCACCTGTGGCGGCCACAGGAGCAGCGCTTCCGCCGGCCTGCGCGGCCTTGGGCGGGCGAGAGGGTGAGAGGCCAGCTCCGTTCTCGCCAGTGTTAGGGCGAAGGAGGGTGGGATGGGCGGCGCCTCCCCTTCCTGCGCCCCGGAACCCCACTCCTCACCTCTCCCTGCACTCGGACCCTCCGCATCCCGGCCCCCGCCCAGTGCTCAGCGCCCCCCATGGCCGCATCCCTCCGTTCTCTGGTCTCATTGCCTTTCTTATCCCCTCTTCCACGTCTCCTCTGCCCATCCTCCCATTTCTCAATACTCTGCCCAGGACTCCGTCTCATTCTGCCTCCACCCCTGTTCCTATGGTTTCTCCTCCTCCCTTTTCCATCCCCACCGCCCATCCCACCCTCCTCCCACTGCCCCCAGCCCCAGACCTCCCTTCCCTCTCACTCCTCCTGCCCTCCATCCCTACCCCCTTGGCCCACAGCCCCGTCTTCCTTCAGTCACTGTCTTTGCTGCTGGGAAGGTCTGTAGCCTAGTTTGGGGGATCGCGTTGAGGACCTTCTCCCTGAGTCCCGGTGGGCTTTGTGTGGGAGGGTCAGGGCAGGGACCCTTGCCCCTGGGGGAGAGTGTGTGGTGTGGTGTGTTCGGGCCTTAGGCTCCACAGCCTGTACGTTTGTTGTGCGGTGCGCAGCTGCGCGGATGCTGCTTCCTGCAGGCTCACACAGCAAACGGGCCTGTGTGTCGGCCTCTGGTGTGTCCACGGCTGGGGCGTGGGCCTATGCTGGTTCATTGGGTGTCCGTGGCCACACAGGTAGGGACACACCAGCCACCTGGGCTGCTTCGGGTTTGGGGCAGCTGGGCCTGGAGGCTGACCTTCTCCATCCCAGGTTCCTCCTGGGAAGTATGGGCAAATCCTCCTCAGGGGAGGAAGCTCTGGGGCTGGTGGGGCCTAGGCTTCTCTGTGGTGAGCAGAGCTGGGTCCTGGGGCCTCTGCCCCACTGTTACCCCAGAATCCTTTCCCGCATAGCTTGTGAGCTGGGCATCTTGTTCTTAAGGCTCTGTGATGGGTACGTTTTGTCCCTCTAAACACTCTCAGTAGCTCAGGAATGCTCCCCGCTGCATTCCCCCACTTTGGCCCTAAACAGTCTGGTCCTGTCGGTCCCTCTTTTGCTGCTGGGATGGATCAGACCACCTGCTGGAGGCTGCCACACCCTTACTATGCAGTGAAGGATTTGGGTGGTGTGTATCCCTCCCTGGTCCCTGAGGGGTAAGATCCACATCTCAACATATGAGCAGTTTCCCCTCCTGACCACATAGCTTTGCTTCTTCCTGTCTTGGTTTTGCTGGAAGCAGAAGTCATCATCTAAATGCCTGTCCCTTAAAAGAGAAGAAATGGATGCCGCAGGTGTGGTCTGCGGTGGGGCCTGCTTGCACTGGCCTTGGTAATCCCCCTGGGCTCATCCCCAGAGGCCTTGGGCTCCTCCGCTAGGGCGACACAGCAGGAGTTGGAACCTCTGACCAGGTCAACCTAGCATTCTCTGTGGTTGGGCCACTGGAAGTTTTTGCAGAACTGGAGTTTTTTACTCCAAATGATATTGGTTGAATGCTGCATGTGAGGCTGGTTGCTCCTCCACTTGCTGACAAGCAGAACTGAGGCAGCAGGAGAGTGCTGCCTTGGCCACAGGGAGTTGGCCACATTGCAAATTTGACTGGCATCAAATGGGGCAGGAGAGAGAACATCACAGGGTCATCTAAAGAACACTAGGGGTCTTGGATACCTCTGTGCCTGTGCTTTAACTGGTGCTAAAACATCTTCCCAGGGTCTCTTTTTTGCATGAAACCAGAGCCTTTTCCATGATTTTTAAGGCAGATGGACATGCCATTTGGGGCACTTAGAATGCAGACTCCAACCTGTGTGTGTCCGTATGCATGCAGGTATGAGCGTGTGCATGGGCATCCTTCAAAGTTGAGGTTTAAAATAGACTTGGAAACAGTGTGATGATGGAGACATTGGGAACACTGTTGGTAACTAGGTCCTAGGATGAGGTGAGGGTAGGAAAGATTAAGAAGCGAGTCCAGGCTAACCTATAGAGTGTCTCGATGTCTTCCTAAAAGCCATCTTTCTGCTCCCCCCCAACCCCAAGTACTAGTCCTGTGATACCTTGAGCACAAGTCACTCCTGATGGGAGGAAGAAAGATAAGATTATTAACAATCACTGTTCCAGGCAGTCCATATGCCATCACGTTCAGTCTTCACTACAGCCCTGCAGGGTGGGGATTTATTTCCGATTTGCAGATTGGGGAAACTGAGGCTCAAAGTGGTTAGGGGTCCACCTGAGTGCACATATGTAGGAAGGGGAAGAGCCTGGATTGGAAGCAGACCCCTTGCCCCACCTGCTTGCCCCTGGCTCCAAGGTCCATTTGGTCAGCTCCATTGCTTCCTGAGAGGCCCCTCTTCCTGGTGGTAGGGTGTGTGGGAAACCTCCTTTCCCTGGCATAACTCGAGTGACTTCCCTCGAAGCCCTTTCCTCGTTCGGGCTGGGAAGGCCAGCCAGGGTTCAGCTGTGGGTCTCTGACATTTCTGAGCTGCTCCAGGTCTCAGTTTTGTCACCTGCCATTTGTGGAGGTGCGCTGAGGAAGGGAACCGACAGAAATACACCTCCTCCCCCCACCCCCGGTGTCTTTGTGGTCACTGTTCTCTCACTGGGTGATGACTAACCCTGGACACTAGACAGCCATCTGGTGAGGCAGGCACAGCGGGACCCTTGTCACTGACGGCTTCTCACCAGCTCCTGGTGGAGTCTGAGGGTATCCCCAGCCTTGTCCCACCCTTTCCTTAGGGGGGCCAGGGCCTGGCCTGGCTTCTTAAGGACCTATTTGTGAGGAGGGTCCAGGGTAGGTGAGGCTCAGCCAGAAGCTGTGTAGGCTGTCCAGATGGGGCTTCCTTGGCACACTTGGCCTTGGGGCTCCGTGGCTGTCTGCCTGCCAGGGGCTATCTGTGACCACAGCCTTCCCACGCAGCAGGCGCTCCTCCTGGCCTCTTGACTCTGGGCAGCCTATGAAGCTGCTAAGAAGCAGGTCGGGTGGGATGGACATCCAGGCTTTGTTCCTACTCATTTACCTGTTCCACTGGCATGTTGTGGGCCCCACTGGGAGTGCCAGGCGCTGCACCGGGTTCTGGGACTCCAGTTGAGCCATGGCAACAGTAAGTAAAAAAGAACGACAGTGGAGAGTGATGGTGTCTGGGATAGAGGTCTGCACGGTGCTCAGAGGGAGCTCAGAGACCCTCAGACACTCTTGGGTTTAATTCCTGGCTTAACCACTTACCAGCTGTGTGCCCTTGAGGAAGTCACTAAACCTCTCTCATACGTCCCAGATGACATATGTCATGAGGTTGCTTGGACTATTCAATGAGACAGTGCTGGAAAGGAGATGGCACACGCCTGGCAAACAGTGGGTGACTGGGCACTGGGAGCTATTTTTTTTACTATCATCACTGTGATTGTTATTGGCTTTGT